GTCTTCCCTTTTCTTTCTTTTCTCCCTTCTAAATTGTTCTGCAGTTTATCTTAGCCAAACAGCTGAGAAACAATAAAACTTAAGACTCTCAACTCTATCAGTCTTACGATTTTGTTGAAAGTGTTTGACACTTCAGGGCAGGAATTTGATTTTTAGGCATTCATACTGCAATTTCTGTTGGGCAAGTTGTAGTGATGGCCAGGAAGTGTGAAGATTACCTTTTAAAACTATCTGTGGGCTGGAGAGATGGCTCAGAGATTAAGAGCACTTTGGTTGCTTTTTCAGAGGTCCTGAGTCCAATTCCCAGATGGTGGCTCATAACCATCTGTGATGAGATCTGGTGCCCTCTTCTGGCCTGCAGACATACATGCAGGCAGAACACTGTGCTATACATAATAAATCTTAAAAAAACAAAAACAAAAAACAAAACAAAACAAAAAACTTTGAATATTGCCACCCTGTGCCCTGTGCCTGTGTCTTCATGGTCTGACTTTCTACTTTAACCCTGGACTAATCTATGCACGCCCCTTGTGACCGAGGCACCTGTGTCATTTTAATTTCTTTTCCTGTTGCTTTGATAAAATGCTCCGACGAAAGCAACATAAGGAAGAAGAGTTTATTCTGCTACATTAAAAGCTACAGTCCATCATGGTAGGGAAGTCAGAGACAGCAGGAGCTTGTAGCAGCTGTCACATCACATTTGCGGTCAGGCAGCAGAGAGGGACGAATGCTGGCTGTCAGTTCCATGCAGTTCTGCACAGTCCAGGATCTCAGCCAGGAAGTGTTGTCACCCATTATGGGCAGGTCTTCCCACCTCAGTTAATACAATCAAGGCAGTCCCTCACAGGCAAGCATGGATGCTTGGCTTGTTTGTAGCCAGCTTCCTTCCTTCCTTCCTTCCTTCCTTCCTTCCTTCCTTCCTTCCTTTCCCTTTTTCCTTTTTTCTCTCCATTTTTTATTTAAATTATAAACAAGATTATTTTACATGTCAATCTCAGTTCCCTCTGCCTCCCCTCCTCTCCTGCCCCCCCCCCCCCCTAACACCCTACCTATCCCATACCCTTTCTGCTCCCCAGGGAGGGTGAGGCTTTCCATAGGGGGTCTTCAGAGTCTGTCATATCCTTTGGGATAGGGCCTAGGCCCTCCCCCTTGTGTCTAGGCTCAGGGAGTATCCCTCTATGTGGAATGGGCTCCCAAAGTCTATTCCTATGCTAGGGATAAGTACTGATATACTACAAAAGGCCCCATAGATTTCCAAGGTCTCCTCATTGACATCCATGTTCTTGGGGTCTGGATCAGTCCCATGCTGGTTTCCCAGCTATCAGTCTGGGAACCAAGAGTTCCCTCTTGTTCAGGTCAGCTGTTTCTGTGGGTTTCACCAGCCTGGTAGCCAGCTTTTCTAACCTAACTTAAATCATCCCCTTTCTCTTCTACGTTTTGCCTCTGGGCTTTTTACCTTTATTTATTCTATAATTTTTCTTCCCTTTTTACTCCGTGGCTGGCTGTGTGGCTGGCCCCTGGTATCCTCCTCTCCCTTGCCTTTTCTCTCCTCTCTCTTCTCTAGATTTCACCTTGTATCTATTCCCTTTGCATGCCAGCCCACTCATCCTTCCTCTTGCCTAGCTGTCGGCCTTCAGCTCTTTATTAGACCAATCAAGTACTTTAGATAGGCAAAGTAACTCAGCTTTACATAGTTAAGCAAATGAAAATAAAAGAGTGTAACACATCTTTACATCATTAAACAAATATTCCACAGCATAAACAATGTGATGTTACACAACACAAGACAGTTCCTGTCTCTCTTTTCTTGGCCAACCCCAATAAACATTGCAGCCTTGGGCACTGATTACTTGAGTCAGGGCAATAGCCATCAACCCACCCATGTGAAATGTTCCTTTTTCTAGACCCTGATACCTCAGATGGCCCAATGTAAACCCAGACTTCAACAGTTTAGATAAGACTCTGGCTGATTTTTGTTCAGACGATGAGGGCATGGCCCCACTGGGCACCATTTGCTCTTTGTGCCTCTGTCTGCTGGGTTCATGAACCCAGCGGAACTATGTACAGTGGTTTCTGACCATCATCGTCATCCAGATGCTTTTGTCTCCTTTCCTGGCTATGTTTGTGTTCCTGGGGCTGTAGCAAAGTCCATAAACCTAGTGTCTTTTTTTTTTTTTTTTGGGGGGGGGTTCGAGACAGGGTTTCTCTGTATATCTTTGGAGCCTATCCTGGCACTTGCTCTGGAGACCAGGCTGGCCTCAAACTCACAGAGATCCGCCTGCCTCTGCCTCCCAAGTGCTGGGATTAAAGGTGTGGGCCACCAATGCCCGGCCAAACCTAGTGTCTTAAATGGTAGTTTACGATCTATTATTTCTAAATTGGAATCTGAGATGGGAGTGTCCTGAACTGGTTCCTTCAGAGGCCAGGAAGAAGAAACTGCCCCTGGTCTTTTTGGCTTCAGGAGTTTGCAACAATCCTTGGCCTTCCTTGCCTTTTAGATATCTCTGTCTTTACCTCCCATCCTCCACATCATTTTTTCCTCTCTGTCTCTCTTCAAATTTTCCTTTCTCATAAGGCCACCAGGAATCAGGAGTGTTTTATTAGGTCCATCCTAATTATCATCTTTTAATTTGATCACCTCTGGAATAATTCCATCTCCCAATGAGAGTACATTCTGAGATTCTGGAGGCTAGGATTTCAATATAGGAACTTGAGGACAACACAGTTCAGTTCATGGCACTATCCTGACCCAAATACAGTCCCCACCCCAGGTCAAGCTTCAGTTCAGGGACATAGAGGGGCCCTTCCTACCACAAGGGTTCTGGGGTCTACCGTTGGCTCAGGGCATGGATTATTATTTTCCCTTTCTCAGGCTTTCCTTTACCCTCCAGCCTCCTCTATTTCATGTGTGAGTACCCCAGCTGTTTGTGCTCTTTGGGAACTCCAAAGCTAACCTAGAGCAGAACCCAGGAGGTGCTTGTAGGTCTGAAATCCTCACAGACCCTCCTTCCCCACCTCCAGCCCAGGTAACCTAGGGCTTAGAACGCCCTCAAAGCCAGGAGTGCCAGTGCCTAGATCTCAGTCCTCTGCCCAGCTGATGCTTTTGGAGGTGACAAAATTACCCACACAAGTGTCTTTGTGTTCACACATCGGCCAGCTCCAGTCACTTGCAGCTGGAGGTTAGTACCCAGTTATCCAAACACTAACTGGTAGTTGGCCTCTTGCTCAGAGACAGGACTCCCTCTAGGAACAATCCCTTCCACTCGTGGCAACACCAGGCTGTGGCTTAGAGACTGACGTTTGCATGACTGGTACTTAACTCCTTTTCATTCTCTTTCCTGTATTCCCCCAATAGCTCTGGGATAAAGTAAAACTCTCTCCTAACTGTGCTTCATGACAATTTGTTTGTTAAGGGAGAGGTTTTTAAACATTTTCAGGCAAATTTATGCAGATTAAATTAGCTCACCCCTCTGGGGCAGCCTAGCTTTGCTACTTCTGCCAATAGGACAAGGCAAACTCATTCCTAAAGTTAGTCTGCCAAGGTGGCTTTTTGTTTGTTTGTTTTTGGGGGTTCTTTTATTTGTTTTTGCTTTTGTGGGTTTTTTGTTTGTTTTTGATTCGGGGTTTCTCTATGTAACCCTGGCTGTCCTAGAACTTGCTCTGTTAGACTAGGCTAGCCTCTGACTCAGAGATCTGCCTGCCTCTGCCTCTTGAGTACTGTGATTAAAGATGTGTACCACCACACCCAGCCACCCAAGGTGGCTTTTTAAAGCCACCAGCTTCTCTCTCCATTGTGAATATGGATGCTCAGGAGATCTCTACCAAGTCTCCTCCCCGCCCTCAGTTGCTAACATTGTTGGCATGTGTTTTGTGTACAGAAGCACATCCATGCTCTTCCCCTTGTCTATGAGCAACACAGGAGGCCATGTATGTGTGTCATGACAGTTGGATGTGGCCCACATGACAAACAAACCTTCAAGTTCAGGACAGATCTTCCTGGCTCCATGGCCAGGCTTCTCTTCTTTTGAACACAACCCCTTGAGGCAAACAGTAATGAACTTCACGAGCTAGCCTGGCACTTCCCCCGGCCTTGCTGGGCCTGGGGTAATTGGATGCTAAACTAATTGGTAAAAAAAAAAAAAAAAAAAAAAAAGGTGATGTTGAGGGGTGGCTGCTTGTCTGCATTGTGCCTGCACTTAACTTTCAGGCACCATTTTCTCCCTAACAAGTGCTACCACTCTTTGTTTTCTGTTCTGTACACTATACTTGGCATCTATGCCAAAGAGTTGAACCATACAAAACCAAGGGCTTCTTTTCATTTTGTCTTGCCCACTTCTTTTTCTTTCTTTGTTTTTGTTGTTTTCATTGTTGGATGTGTGTGTGTGAGCGCTGGAAATTGAACCCAGGACCTTGTACATGCTAGGCAAGTCCTTTACTACTGAGCTACAGTCTCAGCCTAACATGAGGCTTTCTGGGTTTGAAAATGATCCACTAACAAATTTCATATGGCTTAGTCTAGTATGGGTGAGTGGGTGAGTAGATGAATAGACTGGAAGATAAAATAGATATAATATCCTAATGTAAGTGAAGAGAATGACCTAGAATTAGTTTTTATAAATAAATCTTATTCTTCAAAGAACAATACTGTATTAAGAACAGGAGTACCATGATTTACAGGGCTCTAAGGTTGCTGTTAGGAGCATGTCCTTCGTTGCTGGGCATACAGCACAGCCTTGCTTATCACAGAGGTCCTAATAAAAGGAGGGGTGACAAGGAATCCTAACCTCTCCACTCTTGCCAGTCCTGCTGTTGGAAGGTTCTTACTTTCACTCTGAAAAGTGGCTACCACCAGCTTAGCTGTGGTGTCTGCCTCTATGGGCAGTGGCTATTCCTTGAAGGAGTGCCTAGTTTCTTGTCACAGGTCTCTGACAACATTGTGTCCTCCTTGGCCTGGGCTCATCTTCCCACAGCCCTGACACTCCTGTGCTCCCCTCTTGCAGAAGGAATTCTAAGGAAAAGCGCCAAGCTCTTCTTCCGCCGGCGACACCAGCAGAAAGACCCAGGCATGAGCCAGTCACATAATGATCTAGTCTTCCTGCAGCAGCCAGAGGGGAAGCTGAAGAAGGGGGCAACCCTCAGCCGGCTCTTGAACAAGAAGCTGCTTCCTAGGCACAGAGGCAAACACGCCATGAATGGAGTACCCAGAGAGCCCTGCACATAGCTCAAGTCACCCCCTGTCCTCAAAGCTGGAGGATGGGACCACAAAGGTCCCACCAGAGCACCGGAACCAGTGCCATCAGATGTGTGCATTGTCTAGCTTGTTTTTTTTTTTTTTTCCCAATAATCTTGGTTTTTAAAGGGAAAAAGCAATCTGCCTGTTTGGACAGGAAGCTTCCCCGAAGACAACTGATAATGCAGTCCAATTTGCCACCAGATACTCAGTGCGAGCATCTGGCTCCATCTGTCACATGTCATCTAAGTGTTGAGGTGGAATGTAAGATGGATGCCTGCCACACGTGCTCTGATGACAGTGGATAGTAGGCAGGAGGGGTCACAGTCCACCTATTTCTTCCTCTCTCCTTCAGGGACTATTGGGGTTTGTGTCTGGACCATGGCATGCGGGCTGCTGCTATGAGCAGGATGGACCACCTCACATATCTTGCTGTTTAGAATTAAGTAGTGCATCTGACCCTGAGGACAGGTGTATGGATATAGGAAGGATTTTGAGCCATGAAGAAATTGTAATAGGAAAAAGATGTGCTTTGACAAGTGTGAGAGGTTGTTCACCTTTGATATTAGCCATATACGTTAAAAACTTATGCAAACACTAAATGTGTCCTGTGCAGATTATGCCAGACACTTCCAGATTTACTTGACCCTTCTTGCAAGTAGAGGTGTAGAAATTCAGATATGTTTTTTGTTTGTTTGTTTGTTTGTTTCTCATGCCAGGGGCTCTGTTTTTTTTCCCACGGCATAGGCAGCATGCTAAACTCAAATATGCTGAGGCTGACTTTGGGAGCAATGAGTGACAGCTTGTAGGACATTGACCACACATATATGGTTCTTGCCAAATACAGCCAACAGGTAAAACAAAGAACTTTAGGGCAACTGAGGAAACTATTCTGTATCCCGGGTGCCAATTGGTCTCAGGCATAGAAGTTTCATAACAATGGGCCAAACTTGTAGGAATTCTTTTCATGGGATCTTCAGAATTCTACTGTGAACAGGGACTTCTGGACACATTTTGGGGTATCCTGGTTTTGGTTTACTGTGGGAAAATTACAAAGTTGGCACCTGAGTTCAGTGTCCCCCTGTATCCATAAGGTGCTGTCCTCTTCTGTGTTCCCGGCACTGTAGATTCACTAGGTCTCACAGCCCTCCAGAGTCACTGTCTGTGGGGAGGGGTGTTGTGTTTTGACCTGTCAATGAGATCCATTTTCTTCCCATAACAATGGAACAGCTGACAGGAAGACCTGTCATGAAGTGAGGAAGCTCCTTCTGGCCTCTTCTGTTCTTTAAAAACATCAGGGGCAAAGTCACTGTTGTTGACCAAAAATGTCTATGAAAGCCAAAATTATGGGAATTTTTTTTTAATTTTTAACTGTTTTAACAAGAGAGATTGGAAAACCACATCATTTCTTTCTTGGTTCGTTTACTCCGTTCTAGGGATTAAAACTGTGGCTTTGTGCATACTGGACAGGTCCTTCTCCACTGAACTATTTTCCCTAGTCCTCTTTCCACTTGTTATTGTGGAATTGGGTCTCACTAAGGTGTTGACTGGGCTGCCCTGTAATTCATTCTGTAGCCCAATTATACCTTGAAACTCTGATCCTCCTGCCTTCATCTCTCAAGTAGCTGAGAGTACAGGCCTGAACCACTGGGCCCCGTGAATTTTAGTTCCAAATAAACATAAATTTGAAAATTCTTGATGGGTGTGGTTGTGCAGGCCTCCTGTGATCCTTAGAAGATGGAGAAAGGAGGATGTTAGCTTCCAAGCCAGCCTGGGCTACATGAGACCCCTTCTTGAAACAAACAACAACATATATAGAAGAAAAAGAACCTGGAAGAATCTCAGGTAGTTTTCAGGTGACTTTGAAGACACATTTCAGCATGCTTTGTCTTTAAAGATCACCTTATGTTAAGTCACAGCGAAGTTTCTAGAACGGATTCATTAATACCAAATTTGTTCTCAATTCCAGTGATCCATTCTACTACTCTTTTCTAGAATGGATCCATTAATACCAAATTTGTTCTCAATTCCAGTGATCCATTCCACTACTCTTTTTGGAATGGACATGATTTAAATTCTGTGTTTTACTTGAAGTATTGTTATTCCACATGGTGTGCAGAATTGTGTGATACATAGTTTTCAATTCCCAGAGACTATGGTGTGTCAGAGATTATGATTCAGATGCTGTATTTTCAGTTGGTGCAGTAGCCCTCATCTAACATGCTTAGGGCCAGAGGTGTTTCAGACACATTTTGGATCTTGGAATATCTTGATAAGTCTTTACCATCTGAGCATCTCTGAATCCCAAATATAAAATTTTCAGAAACATGAAACTCTTTGAATACTGTGGTACAGACAGAGTTTTGGGTTTCAGACTTTTGGGTTAGGGAATGCTCAGCTTATACAGGTTTTGTTGGTTTGATTGGTTTTGACATTTATGTTCAGTTTATTCAAGTATGAAGGCATCAGAATTTTAGGTTATACTTCCTCTCTCTCAGCAGTTACAACAACAACAAAAAAGAACAAATGGTTTTTAGCCATCCAAGCCTCCAAATGATCCTATGAGCATCCTGCTCCTGGCTTTCTACCAGTATCTAAGACCTGTCCTCTAGGATCTCTAGTGAGCAGCCTTTGCAAATTGAGAACACCATCACAGCAGAGGTTGCAGAGATGGGGGACACAAACAAGTAGCCTCAGGGCCTTCCTTGTGCTATGAAGTCTTTTCTCCAAGCTGTTTATCTACTTCTGTTTCTTCATGGTATAGGGTAATTATGTTGAAATGAACATCATTAAGATTATGCACCAGGTGCCAACAGTGTGCATGTGTAAGTCACCTCTGTTTTACTATCTGCATTCTTTTGTGGCTTCAGTTTCTGTCTTGAGGTTTTGGCAGAGTGATAGTTTTAAAGCAATTTCTCATGAACACTAATTCAGGTATCTATGAATCTAGAAGATCTCAGGTTGGCTGGAGTGAGCTGACCACATTTCCTCTACCCTTCATGCAGGGACTAAATAGAGCTGTTTGTGTGTGTGTGAGGATGGTGTAGCAGTAACAAGACTAGGGCTCCCTTGCTCTCGTTGCAAACCTACTGTGAGCAAGAGGATTTAGACAAAGCACTTTATTTTAAATTTTAAGTTCAAAGCCAGCCCTACTTCCTGACTGTGGAAGGAAGCAGGCGATTTACTGTTGACCAGTTCCAAATCAGATTTTTGCTGGCCACATTTACAGAAAAGGGTTGCAAATGTTCTTCTCAAGCAGAAAGGGAAAGATTAATTTACATTGCTGCCACCCAGAGTGGTGTTTTTTGGTTAATAAGCTCAGGGCTGTCAATGTTCAACTTTCAAAGTACAGTCTGATAGATGGTGGAAGGTAAAACATGTCTCTGTCACACAGAAACAGGTGTGGGTACTGACCCCAATGACAGGCACTGTCCCCACTATCTCAACAGTCCAAGACCTGAGGACCAAAGCACTTGCCTGGGGACAAAGACACTGTTCAAACCAGCAGTGCAAGCTCTTTATGTGAAATGTCCCTGTTATGTGTATAAGTATTGCTGCCTGGTTCACTTTGCTGATGGTGGAGTGGAGATGTGATTATTCCCAGGACTGTAAGCCTGGCTCTCTGCCCAGTTATGTTGAACCTCTACTACAAAGAAAATAAAGTAAAGGCTTCCCAGGTGTGTGGTGAGCCTGATGCTGGTGTGTGGCAAATGGCATCCGTGACAATGATTGTATTTGTTGCAGCACTTTAGACGTGGGTGTCACCCTGCACCACCCTAGGCAGCAAGACATGGCTGCAACTTTACTGACCTCTCAAGAAATAAATGTGCTCATGGAAAACATTGAGCTGAGTTCTTTTCAAGTCCTGGGTTGTCCTGAGTACCAGGGGCTTCTCTAATGTTTGAATTACTGCTATCTTTTGTCCCTTTTTATAACTGGCCATTGCAGCCAGCTGACCAAAACTATGTACTAATACCTTCTTTGCCCCTCATTCCTGTCAACAGAGTTTCCTCCTTGTATTCCTCTATTTTGTGTGCTATTGAGCACCACCAAGGCTGGGGCTGAAATTTATTATAGGATTTTAGCCGTTCCAGGGACCTCCTGGGGAATGATGAATTGTGGGTGCTGCAAGCCAGGTTCTGTCTTGGCCTGGGTCCCTCAAAGCAGTGCCTAATGACTTGTAGGATACATGTTTGAGGAGTGATGAAGGCAGGGGAGCATTCATCAGTCTGAGTCAGGTGAGTGCATAGGGACTAGGGGGTATGTGGCAGTATTTGTGCCTGCACAGGATTGCCAATGGTTTCTGGGATGGAATTAGTACCCTGCTGCAAGCATCTCATCCCCTTTGTGGTCTTCACTTTCTGTGGTCTCTTTCACGTTGCCCTGTCATGAGTACAAACAAAAGCATTGTATTGGGAGATATGCTGCACCGAGGAACCACCAGGGAGACCAACCACAGGTCCCATTCTCAGCCTGCTTGCCTATGGGACAGAATATGGGGTAGCTAGCCATTGTATTCTGCCCTTCAGGATGAGTCACTCCTGAGCCAAGCACCATACATTTTCTGCATCAAAAGGTGGTATCTGTTATGGAGATGTGTTACTTTTTTGTTGCTGTGATTAAAAAAAAAAATACCTTGACAAAAACCAATTTAGGGAAGAAAGGGTTTATTTTGGCTCATAGTTCCAGGGGGATTAGAGTCCATTATGGCAGGGAAGGAATGACAATGGTTAGGACAAGCATAGTGAACAGGAGTGGGAAGTTAGCTGATCACATTTTCATTCGCACAGAAATCCGAACAGAAGTGGGGCAAGGCTATAAACCCTGAAAGCCCAGTGGTGTACTTCCTTCAGCAGGGCTCTTCCTCTTAAAGCTGAGGTTAGAAAACACAGATATTTACATTGTGATTCATAATAGTAGCAAAGTTAGTTATGAAGAAGTAACAAAAATAATCTTATGGCTGGGGGTCATGACAACATGAGATTGAAGCATTGGGAAGGTTGAGAACTGTCTTAAAGGTTCCGATGCCTTCCCAAACAGCAGCATCAGCTGGGGATCGAGTGTTCAAATACTCCTCCAGAGCCCATAGAAGGACTTTTTCAAACCAAGGTCTGCTTTGTGCTTACATACCAAGAGAGGACTAGAGGGCCAAACTTGTCACAATTTGCCAGTTGTCCGTGCTGATCTCTGCTGGCACCTCCAGAGGAATTCTGTGTTCCTGACGGTCCCTCTTCCCTGCTGGGGTTTAGTCTGTATCATCTACCCTTGGTCACTTTAGAATGCACACCTTCGTTTCCAGTATCATTCCTATTCTATTAGACTGGGCAGACCCAGGCCACCAAGGACCCACAAGGACAGTTCTTGCCATGGTTAGTCGCCATCTATCAGGCTCTGCGGCTATGCACTCATCTTTCTTCCCAGCAAGTGCCCATCGTTGGCTTGAGGATGGGCTTCAGTTAGTGACTCCTCCATACAGAAGCTTGGCTTCTGTCCATCCTGTCCCATTTACCTAGTGCCCAGGACTCGGTTACATGCTGGAGGGAATGTAGGTAACATTGTTTGGGTATCAGACATACCTACAAGTGCATCGATACCTGTCAACCTGTCTGCCGAGCTCCTCAGTCCACACACCATCTGGCCAACTCTCATGGATAGATAACACAAGCCCCTCTCCGCAGTCCCTTCCCCTGGATCTTCACAGCCACCAACTCTCTACACATTCCCTCTCCTGTTCCCCATCCACACAGCCATGCAGGAAGGCAATCATCCTCCATCTCTACAACCATGCATCTCTGTCCCAGGGTTCTTCAACCTATGCAGCCGTTCGTTTCCTAGTCTCACTGTCCACAAAAACCCTGCCAGCTCCCACTCCACACAGTCCGTCCCGGGTTCCCCGACTACGCAGCCCGTTATGCCTGACTCTCTGTTCAGGAAGCCGGTTGTCCCAGCTCCCGATTCAAGCAGCCGAGCCCTAGGCCCGCCCCGTCTGCCCGCGCTGTGCACTACAACTCCCACGATGCCGCGCCACCGCCCCCCCGGCTTCCGGTGCTGCGCAGTTTCCGGAGCGGATCGCAACCCGGAGTCCGGATCCGACCCCGCTCTGCACATTCCACAGGCAGGTAAAGC